GTTTTCTGCCATCCAGGATTTCAGGTCTAAAATGCAGTTAAAAAGAGCATCCATTGGCCTGGTGTCATCAGGAGACATGGAGATGTACAGCTGAGTATCATCTGCATAACTGTGGAAGTCAATTCCATGTCTCCTGACGACACCGCCAAGAGGGAGCATGTACAGGTTAAAAAGGACTGGACCTAAAATGGAACCCTGGGGCACACCACATGTGATTTTATGGACCTGAGAGGAGCAGGTATCCAAACTTACCATGAAGGATCTGTCTGTTAAATAAGAAGTGAACCATTTGTGGACAGCACCAGAGAGGCCGAGGTGTTGTAGGCGTGATAAAAGAATTGTGTGGTCTACTGTATCAAAGGCAGCGCTAAGATCCAGTAGAACCAACACAGTCACCTTTTTGAAATCATAACTTAGTCTAAGATCGTTTAAAATCTTTAAAAGAGCAGTCTCTGTGCTGTGGTTCACCCTAAAACCTGATTGAAATTTCTCTAAAATTTGCTGCTGATCTAAAAAGGCATTGAGCTGGGTAAAAACAAGTTTTTCTAAAATTTTGCTTAAAAATGGTAAGTTGGATACCGGTCTGTAGTTGTTAAAATCATTAAAATCTAAATTGCTCTTCTTCAGAAGGGGTCTCACCACAGCCGCTTTGAAGGCTGCAGGAAAGACCCCAGTCTGAAGAGAGCAATTCATCAGGTTTAAAAGCTCCTCTCTAAAAGATTCATAAAATGACTTAAAAAATGGAGTGGGGACTGGATCTAAAAGACATGTGGTGGGCCTCACTGAGGAGAAAACTTTATCAAGCATCTCAGCATCAACCAGGACAAAACTGTCCAGTGTTTCCTCTGGCGAAGACAAACAATCAGATGTGTTAAAAACAGTTGTGCGGTTGGATAAAATGTTACATCTGATTGTATTTATCTTCCCCATGAAGTGGACTGCGAAATCCTCACAGAGGGAGTCTGTGGGGGTTAAAAGAGACATGCTAAAATCAGGGTTTAAAATGGTGTCGATGGATTCAGAAAACATGACTGATTCCAAAGGGAAATGAAAATGCAGCAGAATCTCTGACTCTACAAACACACAGTGAGTCAGGCCTCACAGTTCACACAGAAGCAGGTCATAAAATACGTTTTAAATTATACAATAAAATACACAACAATTCTCAAAAGTGAAAAACACTTCCATCAGAGTTCAACAGTTTATAGCAGACGGCAGTAAAGAATCTAAAAAAATGTGGTCGTCTCTGAGGATTTTACAACAAGGTCGATTTCATAGAGAATCAGAGAATTAAAAAGTTGGAACACAGGAGACACATAGGAGCCTTTGGTCCATAGGGAGATGATCACTGTCCATAGGTCTTTATAAATGCCCAGAGCTGCCCTTAACCCTTTTATGTTCACTCCTAGAAGCAATGTATTTTGTTTTCTTTTTTGGAGGCACAACAATAACACCTTTTTCTGTACTTTAGGTCTTTACCAAATGGTTGAGATGCAGTTTGATGGTAAAAGTGCCTCATACCAAGTGACAGAGATGTAGCAAAGAAGTATTTTTCAAGTAGATGTAGTGAAACAAAAGTAAGATGATTGTGGAAACCATTAAAGGGTTAAATATCGAAGGGTCTACGGATCGTCACCGTCCTTAGACCCTTCAACATTGTGCAGGTGCACAATATTCTGCCATATGCACAGATCATTCTTTTTCCGATGTGTTTGGTCCTTCTTGAGTGTCTATTGTGAGGTATTGGACTTGACATGAACGCTTCTATTATTTGCATTAAAACTAATACCTCTGTTAGCACAATATAATTCACAGCGCGAATTCTAATAAATGTCCCGCCGTGAGCCAATTCAACAGAGCTTGTAATTCGTCTCAAGTCCGTCCAATTATGTGGGGAAAGCAGGTGCCACTTTGAGAAGCAGATAGCTCATTTTTTTTGCCCGAAACTCATTATCCCACCCCACACCCACCCTGGCTTTCACTCAGACCAAAACGGAAAGAGGGCCGAGCGTGTGAGAAATTGGTTCATTTGATGGTGCTGAGGTCGAGGCCAAATATGTCCTGGAGGAAAGTCATGTCTAGGGGAGAGGCTTTCTGTCCAGATTTAAGTGTAATGGTTTGGAAGACGGCTGTAAGTGATGGCGTTAAGACTCCAAGTCCTTTTGGTGAGTTTAAGCGGCGGATCCCATCACAGCAGTAATCTAGTCCAAATTGACTCCTTTGGGTTTTGAGGAAAGCATTATGACTGGACTTACTCACTCAATCAATCAAAGTTTATTTGCAGAGCGCCTTTCATACACAGGGCAACACAAACCGCTTCACAGTCCACACCAGATTCACAATTAAAACATTAAAATTACACAAGAAATTAAAACCATTAAAACTTACACAGTGGCCTTTGAGCCTGGAGGTTGTGAGTTCGATTCCCACCATGGGACCTACTCCAACTGCTCCCACTGATGTCTACTGCCGTTGTGTCCTTGGGCAAGACACCTAACCCCACGTTGCCTGAAGCCCCCACGTTGCCTGAAGCCCCCACTGAAAGACCAAGGCTGTTTCACCACTGACAGAGCAGCCATCTTCCTGTGGACTCACCCACTGCAGAGGATCAGAGGGACTGGTGCTATGAGCGTTGGGGGCAGCTCTCATTGCCACCCCCGTGACCCAGAAATGGACAATAAAGGGCTTGAAAATGAATGAATGAATAAAACTTACACAAGGAATTAAAAAATAAATAACCACAGGGTATTAAAAATGGAGATAAAATCCCTCAGTTGTATTCACAGGCAAACAGAACAGTCTTTAACCTGGATTTGAACATTGACAGAGTAGACGCCTCGCTCACATTTTCAGGGAGACTGTTCCAGATTTTAGCTGCATGAATCTGAAATGCTGCCTACCCATGTTTAGTTCTCACTCTGGGCACCAGCAGGAGGCCAGTCCCTCTCACCCTAATGAAGGACTGCACTGTGCAACGTATTGTGTGTCTTCTGTTGTGTGATGGTGTAATGTAATGTAATGTATGTGTTTGTTAGGCTGTAGGTCCTGATATCCTAAGCAGTTTCCCCTGTGGTATTAAAGGATGGGTCAAATGCAGCGGACAAATAAAATACTGTTTATCTTACCTTACCTTGCATACCGGATGAATTAGAAGTGAAACCTTACCTTTTGTATTACTGAGAGCTGATTGACTGAGAGTTCTGTTTGAGAAAGCTGCTGTCAGGTCATAGATGCATTCAGTAGTAGCAGTAGTTTATTTTCTTTGGCCATTATAAACACCAGATCTCAGGTCTCATGTTTTCAGAGATCGCATATACATTTTACAACAAGAAAAAAAGGAACCAAAACCGAAGTCCGAAACAATGCCTGACCGAAAGCATTCCACTATGATTGAACCAAGTAGTGTTGAGCACGAGGAATTAGTTCCATAGAGTCAAAGTGAGGTTTGGTTCCTCTCCCCAGCCAGGCTTTAGGTTTTTTTTTGCCTTGAATGGATCTACAGCCGTCTGTGGGAAGCAGATCCCTCCTACAATGTTCGACCCCCAAGGATTCTCACTTTTTTCCCACTGGATTTTTTTGAGCTGTTCCTTGTTGCCTCAGGAAGGACTAAGGACAGTGACGATGATCCAAGACATTTATAGACATTGGTCTTCAGCCTCCTATGGACCAATGGCTCTATGTGTTTTTTTTACCCATAGTATTTTCTGTATTTAAACTGTTTGATTCTCTATTCTATGTTGGGTAATCAAGTCCTTAGAGATAACTGCTGTTGTGATTTAGGGCTATACAAAAATAGATTGAATTGAACCTTCAATTCAATCCAACCGTGACATTACAGATGTGAGTTATCACGGCACTCCCCTGATTGACTTTTGTACCTACTGTTTTGTCTGAATCTAGTTGTTCTTAGTTTAAACTGTTGAATCTGTTGTTTTGTGCAATAGTTAACTTTCAGTCAGACAGCTGTGTTTATTCAAGAGGCGTAAACTTTTTTTCAGAAGTTTTACAAAACACCTCACAAGACACTTCTCTTACAGGAGGTCTCCAAAACAAGTTAAGCCGCTAAACACACAATGCAGAAGGAATATGCGAACCACAACTACTGGTTCTAACTACGTCCTCCACAAATGCATTTTTGGCTTTTTATTTCCAGTATTATGTTTTCTGGTAAAAAGCAAAAGCTGTGAAAAGCTGTGTTGATGCGTGCAAAAACACCAGACTGCAAATATGAGTTCATTTGCCATATTATTTCCATTTGACTGACTGTAAGAGATAGAAGCTCATAATTAAAGCAACAGGAAATACTTCAATTATATCTCATTATAGTGACAAAAGTAAAAAGGTGCACTGTGCAACTCTCCTGGTTCACCACAGACTTGTTTCCAGATGTAGTTAATTTGGTTTAGAGGTGTCTTTAAGAGAGACTTGTTATACTGGCTTTGTACAAAGACCCATGTGAGTTACTTAATGTACTTAACCCTAACCCTAACCCATATAAATGCAGTCGTTTTAGACACACAAAGAGGCTTTACAAAAGGACAATGAAATAATAGGTGGGGTTTGAGCAGTGATTTGAGTCAGAAGTGAGTCCAAGTTCTTGATGTGTTGTGATATAGAGTACAAGAGCGTGTTTCCCAGGGTTCAGAAGGCTCGGTCTCTCAGGGTTCAGAAGCTCAGTCCCTCAGGGTTCAGAAGGCTCGGTCTCTCAGGGATCAGAAGGCTCGGTCTCTCAGGGTTCAGAAGGCTCAGTCTCTCAGGGTTCAGAAGGCTCAGTCTCTCAGGGTTCAGAAGGCTCGGTCTCTCGGGGTTCAGAAGGCTTGGTCTCTTTGGGTTCAGAAGGATCAGTCTCTCAGGGTTCAGAAGGCTCGGTCTCTCGGGGTTCAGAAGGCTTGGTCTCTTTGGGTTCAGAAGGGTCAGTCTCTCAGGGTTCAGAAGGCTCGGTCTCTCGGGGTTCAGAAGGCTTGGTCTCTTTGGGTTCAGAAGGGTCAGTCTCTCAGGGATCAGAAGGCTCGGTCCTCAGGGTTCAGAAGGCTCAGTCTCTCAGGGTTCAGAAGGCTCAGTCTCTCGGGGTTCAGAAGGCTTGGTCTCTTTGGGTTCAGAAGGGTCAGTCTCTCAGGGTTCAGAAGGCTCGGTCTCTCGGGGTTCAGAAGGCTTGGTCTCTTTGGGTTCAGAAGGGTCAGTTTCTTGCGGTTCAGAAGGCTCAGTCTCTCGAGGTTCCGAAGGCTCGGCCTCTCGAGATTCCGAAGGCTCGATCTCTCAGGGTTCAGAAGGCTCGGTCTCTTGGGGTTCAGAAGGCTCAGTCTCTCTGGGTCCAACAGGCTCGGTCCTGCAGGGTCCGGCACTTTGTTCTGATGGGAGTGAGGAGGTTGGAGGCGGCGGAAGGGACAGTCCTGATGGAGATCAGTGAGATTTGAGGGGGCAGGGTTACGAAGGGACTCATTGGTGAGGATATAAATCGTATCAAATTCAAACTACCATATATCTAGATGTGTATGTGTATCAGTAGACTCTGAACTGCACCCAGCCCTAACGTCATCGCAACAGTGTGGAGCAAGGCCACCCAACACCAACAATCCGAACTTTTTGCAAGCACACACCTTTGCCTATGCACTTTTGGTAATAATATGCCTCATGAAGAGCTGATATAAAAGCTCTTTCAGATTATAGCTGGCCACCCAAATGGAGCGGTGTGTGACTCAGTGTTGGTTCTCTGTGGTCACGACGACATCAATGAGAGCTGTGCCGTGTGATTCATGCCACTGATCAAGAGAGGATTGTGTTGGGAACAAACCGACTTCAAATTACACCAGTTGGTAATTCAAAAGGATGAAGGATAAGTGGCATTTTAGTTTCGCCGGCTACAAACAAGGACAAGGAGAAGACAGAAATGCCTTTTGGGTTTTTATTGAGGTAAATGAGATTGTGTAATGTGTTTGTCGCGTGTAACTTGGTGGTGCATGATTTTCACACTATGTAAATATGACAATCTCATCGTTATATGCATGTATTTCAATCTGGAGAAACTCAAACAGACGAAACAAGGGTCTTATCAGAGTTGTTTGTCGGTCGGCAATTAGTCTGACATTACATACATTAGCACACACGACTCTGAAGACTATGTTTGCAAGATGACATTTATTGCAGATTTTGCGAAAATTAAGGTATGCAGCCTGGGGAAGTTGTATTTATTTATTTGTTCCTTTCATAAAATTCTTTGTTCACATGTTCACATAATAATAGTTACATACATGTTTTAAACATTCACATGAGGGAAAGGAGCAGAAAAGAATAATATACAATTCTTATGTTTTTCTGGCCGTTTTCACCAACAACAAAACATATGTAAACAATACATCCAGTCACTCAAGAAGTTTATATGATTCAGTCATTTTTGCCGTATACAACTTTTTAAATGGAAAGATATTGTGACACCGTTTTGATTCATTTTCCTGAGCATTCCACAGTTTGACACTTTTAACAGATAAACACATTTGTTTTAATGTTGTTCGTGCGAACTGATGTTTAAAGTCGAACCTTCTCCTCAAGTCTTAATTTTCTCACGTAACAATAAACAGTGTTTGTATATGTTCTGCTAGTGAATGAATGAATGAATGAATATTTTATTTAAGTGTCATGCACATATGTGCCCAGCCCACATGGGCTTATATGACACTATAAACATAACTTGGAAGACGACCATTTAAACAATATGTTCAATATACAATATACATTTCACACAAAAAATCAAGAATCTGGATACAAAGCTTTCATTCTCATTGTCCAGGCTTTCTCCACATATCTTGCCAAACAAAAAATTGAATTTCTAAATAACCAACTCAACATATCACCTTCTGCCAACCAAAATAGATCAGGATTACTGCATTCGACTCTTTCAAACAAAGCTGTTCTTAAATCATTATACAATGGACAATAGAACATAAAGTGAAATTCATCCTCCACCACACATAGATCACAAACATTACAAAGTCTGTTCTCTTCAGGTACCCCTCTGTAACGACCCACCTCCACCTCTAGAGGCAGCACTCCTGCTCTGAGCTGAGCACACAGAGACCTCTGTCCTCTTTTCAAATTATATTTCACATAAATCTCTGTTGAAAAACATTCTTTAATCTGAATATAAGTTCTCAATTTCGGGTTTCTTAGCAATTCAAATTTCCACTGCTCTTTGTAATGATCAAATAGTATCTGCCTGTGGTTTGTTATTTTACACTGTAAATTATTCCAAAACAATGATTGTGAATTTATTTTTGTGAATATTTGAAGGATCTCCTGAGACCAAGGACATTTATGAGTTTTGTCCCAATTAAAGACTTTCCTAGTGAGTCTCTCCTCCGGTAATTGAACCAGACGGTTCCAAAGTCTTAACATTTCAGCCCACTGTTTCACCACGCAGGGTTCCCAGCCCATGTCTCCCTCAATGGCTGCCTTGGGAGTGAACTTATGGACTCCAAGGAAATACCTCATAGCTCTGCTTTGCACAGAGTTGCTCTCTGCAGCATCCTGAAAACCCCATACTCCTGCAGCATAGAGCAAAACAGGAGCTACCATTGAGTCATAGAGCTGAGTGAAAATAGTGAAGGGCAAATCAGGACATAATTTCATCTTACTGATAACTGCACCCAGAGCCCTCCCAGCAGAATCTGCTAGTACTCTTCTACCATCAGAAAAAATCATATTCTCATGAAAAACAAAACCAAGATACTTATAAGTTGCAGAATACATCAACAATGTTTGACCAAAATAAAATTCATACTCACTTTGACAAGCATTAGGCCTTCTAAAGTTAACTATTTGAGTCTTATCACAATTAATATCAAGTCTCCATTTAGTACACCAATCATTCAAAATATCTAACATTTTTTGCAAATTAATTTCATTCTCTGCAACCAAAACAATATCGTCAGCGTACAACAAAATGCTGAGATTCAAATACTCAATGTCTATTCCCAGGTTAGCTCTCTTGACTTCTTGGGCCAAATCATTAACGTAAATTGCAAATAGAGTGGGAGAGAGAATATCTCCTTGTTTCACACCAAATGGAGTAGAAAACCAATCCGTCCTCAAATCGTTCACCTGCACACAGGCAGCTGGTTGCCTATACAGAGCTTTAATGGATTTAAAGAAATCGGCATCAATACCATACTTAAGGAGCTTAAATTCCAAAAGGTCTCTGTTTATCCAATCAAAAGCTTTTTTGAAATCAACAAAACATACAAAGGTACATTTGCCTTCCTGCATTCGTGCTCGAACTACGGAGGACAGAACATAGATGTGATCTATGCATGCCCTGCCTTTCCTGAATCCATTCTGCTCATCCACCAGTATTTGATTCATTTCTATAAATTCACAGAGCCGGTTATTCAGGATAGCAGAGAACACCTTGTAAACTGTACTTAACAAACTTATGCCTCTATAATTGAGAGGGACTCTAGGATCAGCTTGCGAGGACTTAGGAATAGGCTTTATAATAGATTTGTACCATCCTGATGGAATAATACCACTCTGAAAGCAATGTTTAAACAACCTGTACAGAGGATTCAACAACCTAGGACATCTGAGAACCTCATTAGACAATCCATCCAGTCCCACAGCTTTATGTGGTTTAATCTTTTCAATGACTTTCTTCACCTCCTCCAAAGTAATATCTCCATTTAACAAATCATTACAACAAGAAGGATAAAGATTTTCCTCAAGTAGTATTTTTGCACTACACATTTTTGTTAGAAACTGGTCATCAAACTCGTGGTAACTATTACAGGCAAACAGGTTTCTGTAATCTGTTTCCCACCGGTTTAAAACCTGATCAGTTTGGAATAAAGATTCCCCACTTTCAGTGACTATTTCAAATGGAATTGTCTTTTTTCTTTTAGGTCCAAGCTTATTGATTTCTCTCCAGAACTGTTGTGAGTTACTGCTTTGCAAGTGTTCCAACTGAAGGGCCTTCCCTCTCTTGTAACGTCTTTTATAAAATCTAAGTTTTTTATCAAAATTCATTTGGCAGCTTTTAAAGGTATTGTTTAACTCTCTCCTTAAAATCTGATCTTTACATTTCAAAATGTATCTTTACATTTCCCATCTCAAGTCCCTCACCTCCCCCCTCCTGGACCCCCTGCAGTTCGCCTACAGAGCCAACAGATCTGTAGACGACGCCATTAACCTGGCCCTCCACCACATCCTACAGCACCTGGACTCCCCGGGGACCTACGCCAGGGTCCTGTTCGTGGACTTCAGCTCTGCCTTCAACACAATCCTGCCACCCCTGCTCCAGGACAAGCTCTCCCAGCTCAACGTGCCCGATTCCACCTGCAGGTGGATCACTGACTTCCTGACGGACAGGAAGCAGCGAGTGCGTCTGGGGAAGAATGTCTCGGACTCTCGGATTATAAATACAGGAGCCCCACAGGGCTGTGTTCTTTCTCCCCTGCTCTTCTCCCTGTACACCAACCACTGCACCTCCAGCCACGACTCCGTGAAGCTGATCAAGTTCGCGGACGACACCACCCTCATTGGACTCATCTCCAACAACGATGAGTCCGCCTACAGGAGGGAGGTGGACCGGCTGGTGTCCTGGTGCAGTGGTAACAACCTGGAGCTGAACGCCCAGAAGACAGTGGAGATGATTGTGGACTTCAGGAAGAGCACTGTCCCCCCGCCCCCACCCTCCGTGATGGACTCCCCCATCACCTCTGTGGAGTCCTTCCGTTTCCTGGGCACCACCATCACCCAGGACCTCAAGTGGGAGCCGACCATCAGCTCCCTCATCAAGAAGGCCCAGCAGAGGATGTACTTCCTGCGGCAGCTCAGGAAAGCCAAGCTGCCTGCACAGATGTTGGTGCAGTTCTACACGGCCATCATCGAGTCCATCCTCACCTCCTCCATCACCTCCTCATCACCTCCTCCTTCACCTCCTCCATCACCGTGTGGTTCGCTGGAGCCACAGTCAGGGACAAACAGAGACTACAGCGCATTGTGCGCTCTGCAGAGGAAGTGATCGGCCGCAGCCTTCCATCGCTGCAGGACCTGTACGTCGCCCGAGCTCGAGGCCGGGCTGGTCGTATCACAGCCGACCCCTCTCACCTGCACATGGACTATTCCAACCACTCCCCTCTCACCTGCACATGGACTATTCCAACCACTCCCCTCTCACCTGCACATGGACTATTCCAACCACTCCCCTCTCACCTGCACATGGACTATTCCAACCACTCCCCTCAGGCAGGAGGCAGGTCCATCAGGACTAGAACCTCCCGCCACAAGAACAGTTTCTTCCCCTCTGCTGTTGGACTCTTGAACACTTCTTAACCTGTCCCCCCGCCCTTTATAAAGTCACTTTACTGCCCATCATACGTCACTTTACTTCACTGTACTGCTGTCACCTTACATTGTGTGCACCATGTGCACTTGTACATTGTAAATAGTAACTGTAACTCTATTTTAAATTTAAATTTATTCTTTAGAAGTGTTTTTTATTCTTATTTTTATTATCTCTTTTTGACTGTTGCACTGAGCCAAAGCAATTTCCAAGTCTGTGACCTCCCGTTACTTACGTTGGCAATAAAAATGATTCTGATTCTGATTCTGATTCTGAAAAAGCTTTTCTCAGCCAAACGAAGACTCAACCACATAGACTGTAATTCATCATTCCAATACGGCTGCTTGATTTTGTATTTTCTTCCGTGCATTTTTATATTTGGTCTATATTTACTAATTTCTTTATCCAATAGTGTACAGAAACAGTCATAGCAATAGTTCAAATTTTCCTGCGTTTTCTCGCTGCTTTCTAATTGCTCTGTAATATTATTAAGAGTTGTATTACAGGCCTCAGAATCAAGAAAATTTCTATGCAACTTTCTTAATGGTCTTTTATTCTGCAGTACAAAACCGTTCCAGTTTCCTGGGCATGTTTCCTCTGTCTGAAAACGCAAATAAAGCACAGAGTGATCAGGAAGTCTACATCTGTCATCTATCATACTTATAATAGACTGCTCAGCTCTGTCCACTAGGTCATGTGGGGTAAAAACTCTAAATTCAACACATGTCTTCAGGTCCACATGTGGTACCACAATGTAATCAACCACTGCTTTACCCTTTACTGATATAGAAGTGAAATCATCCTTTGCAGGGCTTATCCTTCCATTCAGAATACAGCATTTGGAATCTTTAAGAAAATGTACAAAACTTTCACCATGTTTATTCAAGACCGAGTCCAACCCAACTCTAGGGGGTATATCGTCTTCTTCAACAAAATCTTTAAGGTCCGCAATGCGACTGTTTAAATCTCCACATATATAAACTGAATCAGCATCTGCCGCATATATTAATGACAATAAATGAGCATAGAAAAGATCAGCATTGCGACCCCATGTAGAATTTTCTGGAGATAGATAACAGGACATTATAATGAATGAATATTGTGACACCATATGCTCAAAGCGCACAGACAGAACGCCATCATATGTTTTATCAATAACTTTAATAGAGAAATTGTTCAGAAAACTATTTCTAACGAAAATACCCACACCACCAGACGCCCTTATAGCTCTCTTATGAGCAATGCGGTTATGGCCAATCCAGGTAAATCCATCAAGTTCAGGTATAAGATTAGATAAATGAGTCTCATTCAAAGAAATAATGTCTGGCACAAGCGAGAGAAGGAGATGCGTTCTCAGTTTGTAATTGTTAAGCGTCCATCCGTTCACGTTCCAATGAACCAAAACAACATAGTCAGTACTTACAGGCTGGGCATGGTCTCGTCAAACCCGTGGCCCACGTCCCGCTGCCTCACCATCACGTTTAACCAGTCTCCCGTTTCCAGCCAAGTAATAGTCCTTAGCGGGCCGGGATCTCTCTAAGAAGAGTCCTAAAGTTGATATCCATCAGCCGCTCCGCGTGGGATTTCGCAGATGATACGAAAACCCTTTGGTAGCTGTCGCTATCCTTGAGTTTAGCCTTCCTCCGAAGCACCGCCACTTTGTCCTGTACCGTCTCGAGCTCCATCTTGACAAGCCCCGGCTTCTGTCCCCGCGCTCTCACGCGCTCCGTGGCCACCAGCTTCGGCACCGGGTCGCAGCGCAATCCCTCTCGCAACAGGTGATTCACTTTGGCCTCTAAATCTTCATCCTCCGTCTGAGGTAGCCCGACGATAACCAGGGAGACATCCGGGTCAAAGGGCTTGCCACGCATTTCACGTTTGTTCATTTTTGTTTCAATCATTTCCATTCTGGAGCTCATAATGCTAACCTCCAGATCCAAATTCTGGCGCATTTCCTGAGCCACTTTCTCCAACTCACTTTAAAATGCAGCCTGTCCCTCTGAGATCAGTTTCTCTAGACAGTCACGGAGATCATTTATTCTCACGTCCATTTGCGCTTGCATTTTATTTGGCATATCATCCATTGTGGTTTGCATTTGATCCATTTTGGCACCAAGAGCGCGCAGTTCATTGATCAAAGCAGCCTGATCCAACTCGCCGTCCTTCTTACTGCGATTTCGCGTACTATCCGCCATAATGACGCACAAACGGTGCAGATTTTTAGAAAACACCAAGGCAGACTTTTCGTGAACCACATATAAAGATTTTGATTAAGTTGGTCTCTCAGATCACAAGTTATATCGCGATTTGTGCAGCAAGGTGAATGACGATTACACACATGCGGCCATCTTCAAACAGGTGTGTGCTAGTGCTGCATTTCTAGCTTTACACATGACTAATAATGTCTGCAATTCTATTATATTTTTTTATTTAAACAATTTCAACAAATTCAGTCTGGTAGGCTACCGACATTAAATGAATATACACATTCATTTTATGCTATTTTGTGTCTGTGTAGTCTTTCCAGATCAAATTGCCGTTTAGACTCCCGCGGAGCTTTGCATGATGATTGCAGTGGGGGGAACTAGAAATAGGGATTATAAAACAAAATATATTAATGTTTATCTCTAAATCACTGCAGCAGTCGGACTCAGAGGACTTTACAAAGTTGTCGATTCTTTAACAAGCGATCAAAGAACCGTCCACAACAAGTCAAAACTCATCTATCAGCCTGTGTTAACTCATGTCCTTTCTTCAGCTCTTCCATCTGCCCCCGTTATGTTTAAATGATTTTAATCTGAAAGATGGATAAACAAATAATAACAAAGAGCAGGGTTAAAATCGTGTCTGTTTTCGGACACTACACCTCCCGTACATCCACACACTCTCCCTCTGTTTCCAACTCCCACTGCAGGTATTTGGCCGAGGTGTTTCACAGATTTTTCAAGCCTTGTCCAAACAGCTTCTGCCTGGGCGCGGGTGGATTTGCCCACATTAACCGGCTCCCATTGTTTCGCCGGAGCCTTTGGGGAGACACTGGCACAAACAGGGAGGGCTGCGGTCCGTTCTTAATCCCCTCTCGATGGGACAAATCGTGCCAGAATCGCTTCCATTCGGAGGACGCCGTTGTTGCTAATGTGCGCCTAATGCTTAATAAGACGTCAACACGGCGGCAATTAGGAAAATGCCAGAGGACAGCGCGAGCTCTGGGAATGGGGTCATCAGGAAGAAAGGCTAATAATAGAAACAGGGTTTGCTAGCCAGACACAAGCTGGTGCTGGTGCTTGACAAGTTTAGAATCTTTAGAAGCTGCAATAAAACATTCAGGACTTTACATACATATTTGAATACTGTGTTTCACTTTGCTGTTGATCCTATTAGCTCAAAAAAACTACTTAACATGTGTAGGCTAATGCTAACGTCTCAGGATATGGGCTCTGTCTACATTTACTGATCTCTGGGCTAAGTCAGGGGTCTCCAACCTGTGGCTCGGCAGCTACCAGTACCTCGCTAACAGCTTCCAGGTAGCTCCCCAAAGGTTAAACACGAAAGAATCATTCACTTTGAGTCATTGAGTCTACTGTAAATCAACTCTACTCTTTTTACGGTATCTTGAGCCTTTGTGTTCTTCATGATCGACTGTAGTTATTACATAGCAGGGCTCTCCAACCTGTTGCTCGGGAGCTACCGGTAGCTCGCCAGTCCTTTTCAAGTAGGTTCCCAAAGGATTTAGAATGTAACGCTTGATCTTGAATGAAGACATTGAGTCATTACATGTCCATAATAAGTATACATGTAGGGTTATACAGTATTATGGTATATTTTACATGTTTTGTCGTGATTATCAGAGATTTTATTACGACTGCCAAAGGGAGTAGCTCTCTGCCTCTTCTGTTGTATAAAAGTAGCTCTCCGATTGAAAAAGGTTGGAGACTATAGTTGTATTACAATTGCAAAAAGGAGTAGCTCTCTGCCATTTTTGTTTAATAAAGGTAGCTCTCCAATCAAAAAGGTTGTTATATAGATGAATGGATTGATAATTTATTGATCCCTGTAGGAAAAGCAGAAAACACATCCATAACAACACAGACTTTAAACATTTCCATAACAACACAGACTTTAAACATTTCCATAACAACACAGACTTTAAACATTTCCATCTAACTACACAATAGTGCACAATATAATCAAAGTTATTGGTTTTTTTATACTGGAAAACTGTAAGAAAATGATGTTATCGGCTCCTCCCGTCAGCGTCAGAAGTGTCTAAGGCTTCTCTCTCAAATCTGTCGAATTGTCTTGAGTTAAGAGAATGTTGAAATGTCATGAAGAATCTGACGTGTCTTTTTATCATGGATTTCTAACTTATGTTTAACACAGGCCTGATGTTTAATGTGGTGGTTGCTATGGTTAATTACCATGTGTGGGATTGTTGAAAAGAGTTTAAAGCAGCTCTACTTAGTCCTGTTGAAAACCATACATGGATTGGAATACACTGTTTCTTGTTTGGTAGTTTGCAAATCGGTACTTTGTCCAGAAGTTGGCCTTGTACCTGAAAACTGTAACA